AATGTGAAGTTTATGTGCGGTAAAGTGGTGAAGTTAAACTTTTCTAGATATTTAATCATTTGCGATTCAAAAACTGGTATTTTGGCTTCATTATTGAGACAAACTCTACTCCAAATTAATTCAAGTAAAAATAGTATGGAAAACCCAGGCGACCGCCTGTATATTGTGTTAAGCTAAAAGTTTAGTTACAAAGATTATTCGATAATAAAATGAGAGAAGAGATAAAAATCTACCGCGGGAAATGCTTAGCATGCAGCGCGGGTGCATTTCCACCGTTAACGCAATTTTACATGCTTGTGCTGCCATGGATGCACGTTTCACCGCTACCGTCGTGACTCAGAGTGAAAAGTCAACCTTATCGTATATTATTTTTTCGTAGCTTCATTGTTATTGCACGAGCGCTGGATGTCTCCTTTTGTTCGTATCGATCGAGAGCTCCTATCATGAGTGTTATCAGGTGCTCTCTTTGCGCGTTTACGGTTTAAGCACGCTGTAGCTTTAAAATGGATAATCAGCAGCAACAACACAAGCGAAGCGTTTAAAAAACCTGAGGAAAAGCTGACGGCCACGGTCGCGCAATTTTCGAGCGGACTGCGTTCATAAATCATGACTCAAGCTTCCTCTGAAATCCTCTGAGTCATTCTTGCAGATTCGCTCAGGCGCACTGAATATATTTTAAATCTCTTTATATTTTTATTCATACTGTAGTCCGGACTTATTGCATTGTGACGTTTTACAATTGAAAGAAAAATATAATTGGATAAAATAAATTTAAACCGATAATCTAATATAATATTCTATATTTTTATAAATTTTGACTCTTTCGTGGCATTGTTTGTGATTAACTTTATTATTAATAAAATTTAACAAACTTGGAATATTCCTTATATAGCATTTTTCTTAATTATATTTTTTATTTTCGATTAATTTTGATTTTTTTTAGATTTTACGAAATTCTTAAAATTACTTTCTGCTTTAAAAGTCAGGTTTTACTAAAAAAAATTAAATTAGAAAAACAATTTCAAATTTTTAATGACATAAATACAAATGTCAAATTTCGGCAAAAACCCTTCTCTAAGGTCAGAAACTTTCACAAAATATTTTATAATTTGTTACAAGCTTATTCTGTCATTACTGTTTGAATAGCGCTGTGCATTCTTTGCTTGACATAGATCTCATTTCAAAGTTGTAATTTAGCGGTACTTTATCATTAAATAACGAAGTGAAATTACGACATAAATTCCGCAGCGCTGGAATTCATTATTTGATTAATCACTACAAAGCTTTGACGAGAACGCTATGCGGCAGAAATAATTTGTCTGCCGAGTTAGAATCCTGAGTATCTTCCAAGCGTTTAGACGTTTCGCTCCGAGGAAAATAAGAGAAGCGCGCAGGTATAGATGAGTCAGACGTTTCCTCAAACTTTCTAATATCATTTAGGAGAGCTCGCGAAGAGTCGTCTCCTCCACTTACAATTCCGAGTGCGAGTAAACGGTCGGAATGAATGCGTCAACGATAACTCGAAAAAAAAAGAACAAAGGACAATTGAAGCGATTTACATTTTATCGATGCTTGAAGGTTAATCGTATGTTAAGCGTTTCTTACCGGCTAATCGCTTGCGCGAAAAACATGGATGATGAACGAGCACGGTTAGGAAAAGTTACGAGCATAATTGTATGATGGGAACTTCGCGGTCACGTGCGCCACTTTATTTATGAGATGCGGAAGAATGAATGCGTGTGAGGCTCGCGTATCATTACTACGAAATATTCGAGCGATTGCAGCATAACTAAAACCGAAAGCTGAACGATTATTAAACGAAATACATGTATTGATATTGAAGCTTCATTTGATTCTGAATTATTGCGCTGTAAAATTCCATATTTTCCAATTTTCATACGGGATAAATGTCACATTGCAGCTTGATAAATTATATTATCTGGGTCAGCCGTTAATACGCAGATACGGATAAACAAGGGTCGCTAAGACCGGTAAACAAACAGTCGCTAAAATGTGTATTAGTATACAATTATATCTCGAGTTTGTTGATTATAGAGAGTAATGAATTTATATTCAATTTAATAGCGTTGAGTTGATACCATGAGATCAATTTATGCAAATTCTGCGTTAAATTGCAACGCAAATGGAATTATATTTACATGTCGAAATGATTAATGTTACTGTGGTAAAAAATTATTGTTTTTGAAACTACGTCGTGAATCCTGCGAAAGAATGATGATCTCTAATGTCATGCGCGACGAAAGATATTTCTTTAGTTGATTTACTGTCGGGTCAAGGATTATTACGTAATATAACACGCAATTCTAAGTTTTCGTTGAACTTTTAAGGGTTCTTGAATGCGCGATCTTTCTTAAAAAGATGCAATATTACATGCAGATTAATGAAGTTGTAACTATCAAGAAATATTAAAATTGTAGTAAATTTTTTTCACAAGTAAAAGTAATGACAATCGTTACATTATTCTATTTCAGACTATTTTGCATAATATTATAATAATTTTCTCGGTGAAAATTATGGGAGAAAGAAAATTTACTCAATTAGAAGATCCGAAATGAATTATCTCGAGTCGTCTCGTGAAAATAGTTTTTATTCGTAAAATCGTCTTTATTCAAATGCGATGCGATTTCGATGGAAAATTCTTATCTGCGAAATACTGCATCAAATCTCCATCAATTTCTTTGACAAATCGAACTCCTATTAACGAAGGCAAATCGAATTGATTTCATTCCGCATTTCAAAAGCGACCAGTCAACAGTTCTCATTAGAGTTTGCAGAATTGACGACCCTAAATTTGCCGTCGTGCAAGGGATATCTCATGCATTTCAACTAGCAGTATTTTGAGGGTAAATTTATTCTCGTAGCAAGAAAGACCGCAAATGAGCTGCAAAAACCGTAAACTCCATTAACGCCAATGTATAACTAACAAGCGTGCCTTTGCATAAGCACATCAAATTGCGGATTTTGGAATTGGCCAATTAATGATGGATGTCTCGCAAAAATCAATATTCTGATTGCGTGTCAAATATAATTGCGAACTTTGCATCTTCTGCCGTTATACATATTTCATAACAATATTTCATGCATTAATAGTTTACGACTTTACAACTGTAACGTCTCGTGTTACACATTAGCTCACATTAAGTCGCATTAACTCACGTTAACTCACATTACTCGCATGCAATTTTTAGTCGCCTGAAGCATTTTTCATTGTTACATCATAATAACTATACATATAAATAATTTTTAATATCAGTTGTTGTGAATTTACGTTTTATGTATTTCCGGCTGCAATGCTATTAACTAAACTGATTGAAATTTTATTGCATCACAAATAAAACGATTTAAATTGTTGACGCGAACGGATAAATAAGAATATTAATTGTTCGAAAGTGTGCTAAACGTATTTATCCATTCTTTTGAAGATTTAATGTCAGCAAATTTAGTAATTATTAACCGTACATATTGTTTCTGTTTTCACAAAAATGAAAAATGACTTCCTTCATATTACTGATAACGTGATTTGCTAAGTATGATTACTAAGAGAGTCTTATATGCGAGAAGTCACGCCCATATATTTCGAGAAAATTTTCTTTCTCATGAATATACATGCGCTGTTTAGTTTATGCTCGATTACCTATCAGCGGTTACACCTTATTTTTAACCCTTTAAAGCAACGTCGATGGAACCAACGCGTGTCCGTTCTTACGTGAAAATCGGGGGCAGTCGAGTCTCCACGTAGCCACTCGACAATCGCTCTGATTAATGCAGACAAAACAGATCTCTCGATTAAAGATGAGACTCGCGTCACGATGTTAGATGCATCGTGAACTAGATCTGTCAAAATTATTTACATAATGAGTTATAACTACTTTCGAGACGCAATATACTCTGTTTATATGTAGAGCGGGCGGAGAATTTAAAGTTAACATCCACCTTATCTAACTTTGAAAGATGAGATAGTATCTTTAGAAATCTACTATCCATAAATATCGAAATGTTTTCTTTAGAAAAGTTTATTAATTAAAGGTAGCGGTGAATAAGTTCGGCACTTTCCCTCCTGATGATCGATAGCATTTTCTCACACAGTACAGATGGGATGTGAGGGAATGCGTAAGTGATCGATTGCTTTCGAGTACGCCCCACATCGTCTTGAGATATGTATTGTATTCTCAGTGATATATAAATAGTAGATACGACGTGGTAGATACGACGTTTCATTCAATTGATTTTTTTCTGATATTTGTAATATTCATTTTTTTGAAAAACTCTTGTGCGGAAAATGGATATATTATTGTAGCAGATTGCATCTCTTGTTATCAGTGAAAATATGAAACTCGATACTATTCTGTATAGCGGAGAAATATTTACACTATTCATATATTTTATTATTTTACGAACTGTATGCTCGTAACATGTGTAACAAATATCACACCATTTCATACATAACAAAACTAATTCGTAAAATATTAATTCTTGCTTTTGACATAACTCTTTATTCTATTACAAAAAAAGATAAAGTTTTATCAAACAAAATTTCTAAGAAAAGCAAAACCGATTATTTTCTACAGCTTGACAGATGTGTCTGACACTTTCTTATTCATGGTTCCGCTTTCATTGCCGTTCGTTAACTAAAAAAGAGATCGAACATTAGAAATGTTATTAAGCTTTTAAACAAATTTTTTATTACGTTCAAGATACTTTTTTTTTAAATTTGTCAAATAATTACGAAAGAAGACGAAAGTATGTTTTAATCGTCAAATGATATTCTCGCGGATAATCGCATAATCTCGCGTGGAAAGTAAATCTGTCATTGTGCCGCTCTCTCAATTATACAGAATGATGAAGCGATTTACATATTGCTGATCACGGAAGTGACGAAACAAAATTTACACTTGAAAAATTTAGAAAGCGGAAACAGTGACATCCTAGGAAATCTCACACAGCTGATATCTCCGAGCATGTAGATTCGTTTTACTTACTACGAGCAGATCCGAACGTCGTTCTGCCGCTGAAGACGGTAGCAACGACTCCGCATTATCACCTCCGTGTGCCACCTATCTTTCACTTCTCTCTGTTTCTATCTTTGTTTTTCTTTTGCGCTCCTCTGCGACGGGATGCCTCGGCGATATCGGCCGGTCACGATTGCCCGCGCGTTCTATATTCTCCGTCCTTTTTCTCAGATACCAGCTTGCTATTCCCTTCCTTCGCCTTTCTTGCTCGCACGGTTTGCACTACACCCGCGGGGCACAACACACGGTACCCATGACGACGCGTTCTCTCTCAGTTTCTTACGATTATATATAGCAAACTCCCGTGCTCATCCGATACCTGGTTACTCAGGTGAGTCCGTCTGTCTCGCCGGTGAAGTAAACGCGCGCGCGCGTGCTATGTAGCCGCGGTATATGCCTCGGTGTGCGAGCGAGGAACCACACAGGGTGGTTTTGCTGCGATTTGGCGGCAAGTGAACACAGGCGATAAAAATCACCCACACACGATGACGCTCGGCGCGTTACTGACCGTCGGCGGAGGCGCAGCGATGTCCGTACGCTTTGATGCCTTTGAGACAGTCACGCCGAGCGCATGCGCTATCCTGGTAAAAGGCGAAAACGCGATCTGCGCTCTCGCGATCGCGACCAACGATGGAAGATTTGGTCAGAAAATAATGTTTTGTTTGTCGAACCGTTCGTCTGTTCTCAGCAAGCGATATTTACTTCGTTCATCGCGCAAGGTGTGCACGCGAATAGAAGGAAATAACATTGATATAAACCCAGAGATCGATAAATGATACGATCGAAAATGTCTGGCAAAACGTGACACTTAAGACGTATGCCGTTTTTTTATATAATTATATTCTTATTTTATCACTATCATTGTTGTGAGGGTAATGAATCAGCAGTGTGATTAATGTGCGCAAATAACACATGCGTATTCAAACACTTCCATCAAATAAGCTTGTACAAATTTAATGTACAGAAATGGAACAAAGAAATTACAAAAATTACAGTAATTTTATCAACACTATCAAGCTATCTTTTAGATAGCTTCGAAATATAATATTTTTTTTTAGAATACATATAATATATGTAATATTTTTTATAACATTTTTAAATAAATAACATATTTTTAAGAAAGGAATAATTTTTTTCTGAAATTTCTATTACAATTCGCCGCGCTTATAACTTTTTATTTCAAACTTACAATCGATTTTTATTACTCGAAGAAGATGGTAAAGAAAACATCGTGCTCAAAGCCATGATTATTCTATTATTCTTCGACTTGCTGAGGATGATGATCGATTCGGATTCAGAAGGTATTACTGACTACATGTGCATTATGTACTCGCGCGCATACCAATCTGTGTCGAAGCAGAATGGAACTTTAGTAGTAGTAAAAGGCGGAAATCCATATGGTGGGATGATAATGTCATGAATACACAGCGTAATGCCTATTGTTCTTCGACAGATTTTCCTGAATAGTTGTCTGCGTGTACCAACGATTTATTACGTTTGAGTGCCGAGATTATATCAGACCGAAAAATATTTTATGAAATTTTTAAATATTGTAGATTGTTTTATTAAAATTTAATACAGCAATCATACATATTATTTAGATGTATGTTTAATTCATGAATTACACTTGAATGTTATTTTCGCCAAGAAGCAAAATAAAAATAAGGAAACAAATTAGTCTTGTTAAAACACAATGTATGTCAACAGCAATACGCATTTCTTTTTGCTTAAAATATCGCTACAAAATATGATCATTGCTACGCGTATTTTTTATTTATACGAAATGAGTAAAAATATGTATTAAAATGAAGATAGTTGTTATGCGAATATAATTTCGACATTCGTTGATGAACTCAGGTGAAGCAGGTTCATATATTACACAGTATTTTTCCACCGGCGCAAATGATAATTATCTGTGAGTAGACATATATATATATATATATATATATATATATATATATATATATATATATATATATATATATATATATATGTCTACTCATATATATATGCGTATATATGAAGAAAAAATACAAAGTGTCGGAGTGACGTACACCGTTATGCTAGTCTTCTCATTACAAGCTTCACCTTTGAAGATTGACACATATATGCGCCGGAAACCGCAAGCGACGTCGATGACCGCTCTGATTGCTGTTTTTGAGTTTTGATTGCCGCACGGAAGGCATAAATTATAGTCTTGGACGGTTTAAATCAATTACCTTAAAGAAAAATTGTTTGTTATTAAAAACATGTCATTAAACTCGTGATCAAACTTCTATACAACATGCTCTAAAATTTTCCACCAAAATCATGACGTTTTAGCAAAAATAAAAAAAAAAGTTGATAATATAAATCACTAATTATTTGTTCAACAAATAGCGTAAGTTAAATTTGTTATTTTATTAAATAAAGGCAAACTATCTAAAATGTGCAATGTGCTGGATTTGCAGAAAGAGAATTTTTGCTGAATGCTTGCACAGCTTGTGCTTTCAATCTGCTACGAAATTCCGCGCGTCGTATACGTTTTACGAGATGGCAATATGCAAGGCCATTTTTATTTTTGTTTTTTTCTGCGTAAATCACATCACTGACATTTGTATGTGACAGCACAAGAGAATGTGCTTTTCTTTGTGTGTGTTATGTATATACACATGCTTTATCGCATGTGCGCGCGATAAAACGTGAAAATCTGCCGCGCATTCGTTGCAACACATGACTTCCTGGTTACGAACCGTAAACCCGAAAATCGTGTTTAACCCGCATCTTACCCGTGTTTACAGTAGCTCATTTTAATGGCAAAAAGTGTTGACCTATTTAAACTTTTCTCTCTTCTTTTATTTAATATTATTGGTTTTAATATTTATTTTATATTAATTGGATATTTTTTGTTACACTCATTATTATACTTATTGAAATTTTTGACGATCATAAATCATGATCGCAAAGTATTACGTAGACATAACGTAATGTAAAAATTTACGAGCAACTTTAGTTTTCTAGATATTACGATTACACCGCTAAAACTTTCCTCTTAACGTTACTGCGCATCGACGAAAAATTTAATGGTTCTTTTTCGCGTGAACCGATTAATTTTACGAGAAAATTTTCGCTGTATCCTTCATGCAAGATGTCTTAAAGCCATTGAATATCCTGTTAGCAGAATGTAATTATTCATTCTTTAGGAATTAATTTATTAAATTGATCTGGAATTATTTTTTTCTGTAGATATTAATTTAATTAAATTAGAATTACATGTTTATGGAAATGAAATCTTCAGGGTTTAATAGCTTTTGAGTGATTAACGATTAAAGATAAAGAGTCATTAGTCGAAAAGCTCATAAAAAACTGTCTCTAATTAATTTTTTATCTCTTTTAACATTAAAAATAATGATTATTCATACAGAAATTGAATTCACGAGAAATAAAAATTGCTAAATAAAAATAAAAAGACAAACAAAAATTTTAAAATATTTACGTACATCAAAAGTTCGTTACTTTACTTTTTATTGTTATATCTAACAAATATTGCAATTCCGACTTTATTTCTAACTTTCTACGAACAAAACCGACAGCTATATAACGCAAGCAGGGTTTCTACAGCGTCAGTGAGCATGAAAAATGAAAAAAACTTGACCGATTACAAACTCAATGTGCGAGCTGCATTTTTATTATAAGGTTGCTGTAATCATACTTGCTGTAACGTAATGGTAAAACGAAAGTTTCGCTGGTACTTATTTTTACTCTAAAAAAACATACCACTCTTTAGATTTGCGCCTATTAATTTATGGTAAAAAAAAAAATTATCGTTTTCGCGCAGATTGATAGCTGATGGAAGAATAATTCGTTCGTTTAACGACTCGCAAATATGATTCAGTTTTTGCGCGCACAAATTCGACTCACAGATTATGTGAAATGAATCGTGAAGCGAATAGTTTGACGAATATGCTCGATGAGTATCGACGAGCGCATTGTCAGTTCATTACGCAATATCACTACTTGATTTATGCAGGCAAAATCGATAACTCATGTGAGTCAGGCCTTACTCCGCAGGTGTGCGCATTTGGGAGATTCCGCAAATCAATCACAAGGCGGAATAACGACAGGTGTCTGTTTATTGCGTAATGTAAATTATCTTTCGTGTCACTTTTTTAATTACTTCCTTGGCACATTGGAAGACAGATCTGAGTAACTTTCGGTTTACAAGAGGTTTATAAAACATTCTCTCGCAGAATAAAAATTCTTTAATATAAAACAGATACTTTTTGTAACACATGGATATAAAATTTAAAAGCATAGTACATTAATATTTTTTCGAACACACTATTCTTTTTAATTTTGCAAGTGAAATATAATATTACGATATTTGAAATTAGTAGAATCTCTTTGAAAACAGAAACTAAAATTTCCCGTGAGCGAGTCGTGATAAAATATTTCATAAAATAATTGTCAATTTGACTTCTGTTATACCTAACAGTTGCTAACTGTACCTCGCATCTTCGCGAATGTATTCTCCATGAAAATTGCAAATCCAATTTCCCGGATTACAACTATGTGTTAGGAATTCTCATTGCTGGAAAGCTACGCTTTCGAGTTCGATTTAACTCTCGGCTGGGCGTGTTTTAGACAAAACGTATTTCGTTCTATGCTCTGGAGATCTTTAGAGCTAATATCGGGATATCGTGTGCACGCGAGGCCCACAGGTGCATCGATGCGGGTTTACACGTCAAACGATGTGGAATTATTAATTACGTAACTAGGCTTCAATTAATTAATTATCGTTCGCGCATTATGATTATAGAAGCGTAAGACTCTAGCGAAGCTATATTAATAAAAAGTATTACGGACAAAATTAGAACTTGTTATAAATAAGTCGAAGAACGTTTTACACAAAGCATAAAATAATTATTTATAAAAATAAAATTAAAATCAATGTATTATAATTAATAATTAATTTATCGAAATTATGACAGATTATTTTCTTCGCGTTATTTTTATAATTTTTCAAACATATTAAGAAAATACATGTTAATTGTAAAGAAGTGAGTGATGTATTGCACTTTACCAAATTGATCGAAATAAAGTCGATCACACGCCCCTCGCCAAATTATCGACGACACCGATGAAACTTTCCCCGATATGTCACAGCTGAACGTATATGCGTGTCCAATGTCGCATGATTCATATATTGGTATATATGTATATTAATCAATCACAACTTTGGATGAAATTGATATTTATGTATTCCGTTGAATGAGAAACAGAAAAAGTTGAAGCAGAGTTCTTTATTAATTTTTAAAACATGTTTCGCACAAATTATCTACAATATGTGATATATTTATAATACAAGCAAATGTTTGCTATATTTTTCAGAAAAGTTTAAACAATAATCACGAAATTTTGCACTAGAAAAGAAACGAAAGTTGCGTCAAGACTAGACTTTCTCCGAATCAGAAGTGTTTTTTGTTACTTTTTTTTGTTAATCGACTAAATTTACATATATTTTCTTTAAAGCTGTATCGTTTCATGCTCGCAAAAATCACGTTTTATTTAATTGCTGACGAACGAGACCAAGGTTTCTCAGGAAAGCGCAAGGCTTAGCCAGATCTGACATTAGAGAAAGGCAGAGGTTAAAATCCGAGAGGATTTCCTTGACACACGGGCTAGTCATCAGTACCGACCGCTATTGTTTGAAATCCCTTCACTAATTCTACGATCCCTTTAATGTATATTAATTGTTCCAGCTGACGCGAACAAAGTTAATCGAGTTAATTTCCGTCCAACAAAAGTACCTTCTACAGTATATAAAACAATGAAAATATTAATAATTTGTAAAAAGTAATTAATGAAAAAATCAAGAACTGAGAACAAAGCGCAATCATTTTCAAGAGTTTAATTCTTAATGAAATAGTTTGAAAAAAAATATTTATGTCTAAAAATGTCTGCTTTAATTTTTGTATCAATTATTCTGCCTTTTGTCTTGTTATCACGATTTATTCTATATTATTATCTTTAATCTCAAAAGTCTCAATCTGTATAAGATTTGTATCGTTGAAATGATTTTAATGTTCCGATCCATGCAGAAGCTCCTTATAACTTATCCTTACAACTGCATCTCCTGCATCCAGGTGCATTTGGCAAGGATGTGAATCAGACCTTTACTTTCCCGTTTTGGTGCTGAATAGACATTCAAGATTCGGGCCAAAGCCATGGCTAATTCCGCGGCGGACGAGCAACTGGCACGAATCGAGTTGCAATATAGAGTTACGGAATTACAAAGCAAGGTTGTCGCCCAGTCCGTCCCCAACAAGGTTAATAGAAGACGCGGCGGCCGAGCGATTTCCTTGACACGAACGGCCTGGACTTTAATCGAGTTACAGTTTGTAATGACAGTGAAAATCTATTTTACCCTTCCGAGAAATATCGCTCAGGATACTTCGATAGAAAAGAAAAACATAAAACTCACCGTACTCTTAAGTGCACTTCGAAAGCTCGACGATTACTGAAAGCACTTTGTGCTACTCTGCTTTATCAGTTTTATGATATCTAATCGCGTAATAAGAATACTCAAGGAGGATGAATTTTGTTTAAAGAATTTAAAAAATTTAAAGAATGGATATCAAACCCATAATTAACAATAAGCTTGTCATAATAAATTATGTAGCATTTTAGATCAGTTCTTAAAATGACATTTCGGTTATTTTATTTTATTTTTTTAGCAAAAACTCAACTAGAAAAAAGTGAAGTACAAAAATAATAGAAAAAATAAATTTTATTAAAAATATATAAAAATTACTAAAAGTGTAAGGATATATTTGCATTATAAGTAGTATTATTAATAAACGCCCACTTGAAGGAAAAAGTATGAATTAAATGTTAGAATATATTCGCTGCCTGTCAATTTACGTCATTATCGCATGATTTCAGCTATTGCTAATGTCTGCTGTCCGATAAACGGCACGACACGGGCGCCGTATAGAGAAATCCAATACTTCCAGTCCAGACACACTGTTTATTTCCATAAAACTTGTAATTTATCCTGGGGGCGTATCGTCCCGCTCGAAACGTCAAGCGTGCTCCACATACAACTCGAAAAATGCGCCAGCTAACATGCACGTCACGAATGTCATATTCAAACTGCGGTTAAACGACATCCTCGCGATCATAAAAAGTAGAAATAAATGAATACGAGAGACGCAAAGAAAGTAATATACAAAAATCAACAAGTAACAAGAATTTAATTATTCTACAATATTTTCGATAAAAATTTAAAAAAAAAACTTTATATTGATGAAACATTTTATTAAAATTCTGAATCACATAATTATTTTAGAATATTTATTATTATTTGTTTGAATCAAATTGAACGTAACATTAATGCTTGCATTTCATTAAACACAGTAAAAATAGCACAACATTGTCGAATGTGAAGCACGCGAATGATGTGAAGAAAAATGAAAGTAATGTTTCACTCTTCTCTTTCTGCGAAACGCACACATGAGCAATTTCCGTTTATGTAGACCGCTGCAGGAATGTGCAATGTACAACCAAGTGTTCGCAGTCGAAATGAAATAGAAATGAATTTATTTTATTCGCAAACTTGTTACAAAGGATCTCGAATTTTTCGAACGCGTAATGTTTTATACGATTTTATTCACACGATTAAATTTTTGTTGATCGCAGCATGTTGATGGAATTTTTCTATTTTTTCCGTAACCAACTATGGCGGGAAATGACAAATTTTGATTCTTTATTGTAGATATAAGGTGCGGGATTTAAATTTCGTTTTCGTGAACATTTGAATTAATAGCTTAGAAGTCATTTTTCTCTCTTTGAGAAATTTATATATAATATTCATTACTTTATTTTATGGTCGTATGAAAATTGGCGAGAAACGATCTAGAAAAATATCGAGCAATAAATGTAGGGAAAGTGAAGTGCATTATACCCCGGGACGATGATTCATGTGAGATTTCCCTGCTGGCTACTTTACTTTAGGCTGAAAGAATTGCACCATTAAGCGTTCAAAGTACGCGGAACAGAAATTTCAAAAAAGTGCATAGGAGATCCGACAGGAATATATGAAAAATTATTTCCCTGCCCTACTCTTTCCATCGCCGTCTTTTAATTAAAAAATTTTATCTGCATACAAACTTCACTTTATTAGCATTAACCGAGTGTATAATTTCTAGAAGAAATTTAACACAGATTAATTAGCCATTTCGGTAGCAGTTCAGTAAGAACTAATTAGAAAATTTTAATTGACATTTCACGAAAATTGATTTTACATGTATATACATATGATATATATAACCGGATTCGAAGTTGTCGACTTATATTGGTGAAATATTTTCATGTTGTTTAAAAATATTTGCGCAAAACTTGTCATACAAATTTCTCGCAACTCCTGACTGTCGCTCGTAAGCTGACAAGTAAAATGTTTGAAACATCGAACAGTCAACTACAGTTTCCCCGGTGGACAATCGATCGGGGTTGTTCACCTCTCCTACTTATACCTGTATGCACATATCTAGTGTTCATTCGTTGGAAGTTCACCCGATTAAATATTTTATTTTGACGTCGATATGTACATATGTGCATGTTGTACGGGTCGATGGCGCTTGAAGCGTGCGGCACACCATCGTTGCTGAAATAGTCAAATTAACAGATTGAATTTTCACACACTTTCATTTTTACGAAAGCATGTAAAGTCGAATCGAATCGAACGGAGAGTCTAGCCTGTTTTTAAGGCTAATTTATTTAAAAATATATTATATTTTCAAGAAAAAGTGGCGCGCGCATAGCGTGCGCTTTGTAATTCTGGTATGTTCTCGTATATTAGTGAGTTAGAGAGCTTAAATAAAAATTAGATTAAACTTTAAGTACGCGTTCTATATTCAATCTGGAAAAATATATAATTACACAGATTGCTTAACGAGTTAATGTAATAATACTTCGCGCTAGAAAATAATTATTCACTGTCCTTCGATTTGATTGTGTCTTTTTCAGAGAAACTTTAATAAATTATAATCATATTAACTACAATATAATTAAACATCTTTTTTTAAACGTATCGTTTAAATTTTAAAACTACTTAATATAAAAATTAAATTATTTCGTACTAAATTCATAACATCATAATTAGTTTCTGCTTAACAATCGTAATTTATCAAAATAAATGCAGTCAATATTCATGTTTATAAATTATTCTTACTCTAAGAATTGAGCTAACAATAATAATCAAAGTGGTAAATAAAAATAGTCGAATATGTGCGATTGATGCAACAACCGTTTGCCTTAATAAGACCTATTTGACAAGTAATTTTTTGGACTTTACAGAATAACAAAACTAGTGAATAGTAAATATATCTCCATTACGCTGAAAATGAATCGATCTATATGATCGCGTGACTGCAAGAACACCGGGTCTGTTACAAGAATCGTTACTTTGTAGTGAGCAAAGATGTAATCTGTTTAATATGTGCGGATGCGATTAAGCTTACTTCCTCTATTTGCGAAATATGTCCTGAACGTTTCGTTTGCTCAGACTCTGAAACGAGAGCCACGGCTTCTATCGTGGGATTACTTTGCACCGGCAGCACCGCACGTCGTAATGCACTATTTATTGAGCACTTTAAACGATAAATATTGCGACGGGTTATTTAGCGTTGTCCCTTGACACACGTGCGCGAGTGTGCTACTTCTCGCGCTGTGAATTTCACGTTCTGTAGTACGGTCTGTAAGTGGACATCGGGATGTTGTTTTTCGATAAATGATGAACATCACCCTGGTCGTATTCCACGTCGTTATAAATTCCACTTTGATTCTGAAATAAATTAATTAACATATAACTACTTTATATAACTTTCGGCAATGTAATAATTAGTTTCTACTTATAAATACATTACATACTAATCTTATCGAACAATAATGGTAAATATTGAAATGGAAGAATTTAAATTATGTTAGAAGTAAAAACCAAAGGAAGAAAAAACAAAGAATTCATAAAAATAGGTAATTTCAAAAGTATTGATCGAGATTTATTTTTTATGGAATTATTAATTCTTAATTTTCGGAATCGAGGATTGGCCTTATAATTATTAAATTTCTTTCTATCTTCATTTCTATCTTTTAATTAATTTACGAGAGGATTAAAAATAAATCTTTTTACTTGAAATTAAAACATATCAAAGTAAATTTTCTTTTATGTTCAGTGTTCTGTTATACTGTTAAATGGATTGAATTTCGCGGAAATAAATTTTAAAGCCATTTTGTGATCTCCGTAATTAAATATTTAATTTTAGAGAAATTAATTTTTCACATTTTTTAATTTATTTATACACTACCGCAATATATAGTGTGCTCTTAGTAATTTCATGAATACTTACTGCTAATGAGGATCTTGATTTTGGTCTGGGCACATGAAAGCCACTGCTTTGAGGAATTAGGTCGGCTCTGTCCTTATCTTGTGGCTCAGAATCCGAGCTATCCGGATCTGGCTGTGGTCTTTGTCTCGTCCGTGGTGGGGCCTGAAGTCGTGGCAATGGGACCGGAGGTAGCGTTCCATGAATACTCATAGGTGGATAACCAAACATCGCCGAACTTGGTCGCGTCGGACCCATAGGTTCAGTCTTTTAGTGATAAAATGTCCGATATTATTTCAAATTATTAATAATCCAAATTAAAGATATTTAATAACAAAAAGTTTATGCTTAGAAATTATCAAAAAATTTGAAACTACAAAATTATTGCTAACAATTATTATTAAATATGCTAATTATTATTATTAAATATTGCATTTAGCAATATTTCTGTAATGATATTTATAATGATATTTATTTTAAACGCACGTCAAAATTCACCTTTTATTTTTTGCTTTTTCTATTTTAATAGCAATGGCGTGACTTTTTTCTCCAATAAAATATTTTTTGATGAAATATTTTCATCATATATTTAGTGTGTATTATAGAATATTTATTATAGTAAGATTGATACATACCGCATAAACATTCGCTGTAGCCATGTGTTCTCCAAAATGAGCCCACATGTAAGGCGGCAAATTCGTCGGCGGTCCTTGCTTTACGGACGCTAGAGTGCCTACAGAACCGACTCTTGCTAAAGTTCCTGTAAGTTATTCATGCCTTTAGAACTATGTCTCTGGTATAAAAGAAATTAGGCTTATAGTTAACTAATTGATTTTACCTGGAAGAGTACCGGGTATTCCACCTTGAATATAACCGTACACCGGAGAACCGGCAGACTTTTGTTCGCGAGACCATTTCCGACTGCAAAAAATACGTATAGTTCAATTTATGTATGAATACATGCAAGAATAATATTCATATTGCAAAATTACTTTTTTCAATCCTATGATAATTACCTCCACATAACGAGGCAGATGAGTGTGAGCACTATAATTATTAATGCAGCCACAGATGCGCCTATAGCAACACCTAAGACTTCACCATCGACTTCACATTGCGCGCCGTAGTAATTGCCGGTGCATCTAAAAATATCAAAAATTTGTAATGCATTCAGTAAAAATTGCGCAGTAAAAATTCAGTAAAAATTGTGACAATTTGCGCGATCGCGTTTACTTACGCGCACTGCATCTGATCCCCTTGATAGGAGCAGGTGCCACGATTATTGCAATAAGTTGAAGGACACGACAAGCACGTTCTTCCCGATTCGTTAAGATCGTCCTTGTGAGGATCTTTCAATCCTAGATTGCAGGAGCACATAAAACCGCCGAAAGAATTTGCACAACTAGCGGATGAATGACAATCATTCAACTCCGATGAAGCGCATTCATCCAAATCTGCAAATTTAGAGACTCTTTATGTTTTAAATTTTTATTTCTAACTGTTTATTTATATTACAAACTGTTAGGTCAATATTTCTCAATAGAATATTTATTTTTTATATATTACGCTCTTTCTACATCATCTTTGATATTACATTTTGAATTCTTTGAGCTGTATAGCTTACTTCAAATTTTGTTTTAGTAATTTATATTCTAATTAAGTTAAGTTTTCTAAATATTATGCGTATTTATTTTTAATATACCGTACTTTCTTTTATTTATTTTCAATTTATTATTACAAATTATTCGATCAATATTTACATTTGATATTATGCTTCAAATTGAATGAGCTATTCAAAAAAACAAAACACCGCTAAATAATGATAATTATTAATATTATTATTAATAATTAATTATAGCGGTATATACCAATTATAATTACTGATTACTTAATGATTATTACCTTGTAAGTTCGATATTGATCCAGCTGGGCTGTCCACGTATAAAGCACTATTTCCAATGTTGTTGTTTCTTCTATGAATAACACCTAATAGATGTCTTTGGAGCTCACCGGCTAAACTTGGCCTAATTGTTCTCGGTTCGTAGGTCAGCTTCAAAGTTGCATTTACAAAAACTCCACCCTGTCCTTGGCTCACGTCTCCTTGATAAACGTTATTTATTAACGATCCCATGTACTCATCCGAAAATGGTGTCATGGACATAGCAGACTCAACCTACACAAAAATTAAGTAATAAAATTATATACAACAAATAACGATAATAATAAATTGAAGAAAAAAAATACAACATTAGAAGGAAATACATAAAATATTTAAGAAATTTAATTTAGTTCAGATATATAATTTGTTAAAATAAAATGTAAAGTAAACTACATAGCTCAAATAATAATTTGAAGCAAGTAATTTAGACTCACAGCTCTATTCGCCTCATAAGCGAGAGCCTGATAAGAATCTGAATCCCTGTCAGCCAATTCCCGATCCCACACGACTTTCTTGTCGTAAAACTTGTCGACTCGGATTGACACAACGATGCTGACGATTCCTGAAAAAAGAATATCGAGTGTAAATCGTAGATCATAATCTCAATCGAGTCTCAATCTTGTGTCTTTTAATCTTCAATCGTTTACTCACGTTTGCACGGTAACGAATGCTGAAGTCTCGCATATCCTGGCTTGCAGTGACAAGCCGAGACCCCTTGAACGGTGGCACAAGCCTCGTGTTGACTTGCGTCGCAAGTACTTGTGTCGCCCACGATGCAAGTGTCTATTCTGACAGGTGGATGTGTCGGTCTTCGATATAACGGTGGCTGCCTCCGATTCGGTCCATTTGGACGTGAAGTAGCGACAGGGGACTCCGGTTGCGGAATGGCAAGACTTTACAAGGGACAGAAATCTCAGTGTGACATTTATTTGACTAACAATAAGTTGTTTCTCTTATCAAGATAAAATTTTTTCTCGAAACGCAAAGAAAACTTAATTAAAATATCAATTTATATTCATTAACAAGACTATTATCCGACAATAATAACGTATATTTTTTATTTAAAACAAAAACTTAGTTTAGCTTTGAAATTGTGAAAACAACACTTACCCAGTACCGACGATGGGCGGCGGTTGGGTTCTAGTTGGCTGCGGTTGTACATGGGTGGGTGCAGGTGTTCGATCCGTGTTATCGAATAAATTCAGATACGTCCTTTTTCCATCAATACTTACGAAACCTTGTCCCCCGACAGCGCTAGTTAATATAACATCGCCACCCGAGTTGAGAGATACTCTAACGCTGTCCCCTAGATTGAAATAAAATAATCATCAAGTATCGATTAAGCTTAAAAAAATTTTAATTTATCTATGAAAATGTTTGGATTCTGCAAAAATTATAAAAAATACAACGCGCACACTTCCCTTCTACACGCTGCGCGAAAAATGCAAATGTAGTTAAATAAGTGAGTTGGGATACGTTGAAAAAATTACCGGTACTCCCTCCGGGGCCCTGAATTGCCGAAACAGTGACATCAAAGACGTCACCGGGAGATGGATGCCTCGAGGGTGCGTAAGGCCTCTGACTCGGCAATCCTTGCGCTCCAGTGTAATCCAGCGTGTCATCCAGAACAATCCCAGGTCGTGGTCGATAACGTTCCGTCGATGCTATTACAATTGCAAATTATTGTATTATTAGATAACACTATATAAATAATAAATAATGACAGAATTTTATATATATATATGAAAATTACATATTGCATAGTTTTGACGTACCTGTATTTTTCGAAGTTGTAGGATGAATAGCGCTTTTCTCTATCGTAGCCGTGCTCTTCGAATAACTCGAAGGGAGACCGTCGGTCGGCGTCGAGACGCTGGATATTAGTTCCGTATGTTCCATATCTGATGCACTGCTAGGCTCCAAATTTATGCCGGATTTGGTATCAGCGCTCGATTCCGTGGAAATCGAAGTCGGTTTTAAAATAACTTTCGTCGGTGTAGATTCGATCACTTGGACGGACGAACTAGTCTCGATGTTTAAAGTGCTGGTTGAGAAGGTCTTCGTGGTCGTTTTCGAGACGATCGAGGTGGTTTTTTCGGTCGGTTTTTCCCCCTTGACAGTCGCGGTTGTTTTCTCGTCATTTTTCGAGGATTTCGTAACTTTGACTTGACTTTGACTGTTCGACGGCGTTTCTATCTTCGAGGATTCCGAATGATGCGTAATGTGAGTCGGAGTGACGTAATCCGCAGCAACACCGAGGATTAATGTCTCCTCGCCGTTGATCTTGGTCTCCTTCGAAGGTGTATGGTACTTGTGAATTATAATATGCTTCTTCGTGGACTCCTCAGATTCAGGTTTCTTTGTTGTGTTCCGTATAGCTGAGTCATCGGTCGCCGCTGTGGCTTCGACTCGATCCTTGTCGGCGCTAGAATTGCTCGTATAATTCTTAGTATCGTCATCATTGATAAGTGTTCCTTGGTGACTAGCATCTTTCTTTATCGTGGAGCTCTCCTGGGGTGTTTCGGATTCCGGTTTCAAATCGTACTGCGCGTTCTCCGTCGTCGAGAGATTCTTATCGCGATGGAAGATGGAATCCAGCGGCGGCGGCGAGGATTTGTAAGGCGGGGGCGGTCGCCTATTACCAGCTTTAAGAACAAAGATGCGAGATAAAAACTATATGTTATAACTACGAAAAAATCCTACACGCTCGCTATACTCATCCGCCGTTATGTTAAAGCATCCGTGCAAAATGAAGAATTAATTAGGTAGGCAATTATTTACGGAAAATGTACGACGTACTATGAGCAGGATCCCGACTCCAAGGCGGCACGACTTGTTCTGGTAGTGGCACTCCGCTGATGAAGGGTCTAACGGGTCTTTCCGGCGGCAACTGATTCAATAATGGTCTGTCAGGTGCAGGGGGCTTCTCGAACGGATAAGGATGCGACGATGGCGGCGGCGGTGGCGGATTCATACCGGGAGTGTCGAAGTCCGACGGTAACGGCGGCACATCTGAGATTCTGGGCGGCCCTCTATTGTTGATCCTGCAACGTAATTGTTAATAATAAGAGCTACACATGACTGAATCTTCATTCAGAAAATAATTAGCATATTCAACGCGATATTCATTTTTATCTTTTTTATGCCGCGGAAGAAATATATTTCTTATATTATTTTTATTGAAATATTTATCAATCGTCGATGATTTATGTAACAAATGCAGTCTTTATTTAAAAAATTATTAAATATTTCGTGTCATTTATCAATTAATACATCACATATACACACATATATAAGTGTTAAAAGTTTCTTTATACCTTGTTGGTTGTATCGGCCTTAATGGCCTGACAGTGTTTGCAGCCACATTAATGTTGCCATTGAAGAACTTGACAATGTTGCTAATAATCTCGTGTACATCGGGATTCGCTTGTCTATGACCCGGTGCGGCAGTTTGCAGGATCGGCGGCGGCGGCGCGTGTTCGCTATAGATCCCGGGGATCTCTTGACGGCCTCGTCGTTGCAGATCCGTTACTGGCGAATGCTGTGCTCGTTGCCTCGGCGCGCCAGCCAGCTGATGGGGCTCCGACAGGAGATTTACTCTCAGCGGAGCCCCTTGTCCTTCCCCCGACATTGATTCGCTAGTAGTGGGCGCTATGCTGTTGATGATAACAGATTATTGCGAAAGCTCTACACTTTGATTTTGCATATCTAGAATTGCAATTAAAGCGAACTAATCAAGATTTATACGGATACATTGTTGATATATTATTTAGGGAATTATTTATAAAATGTAATTCTGATTTTGCGACGATTGCGTGTCTGGAATAGAAATTGAGGTGATTAAAATTTTCAAGATAGATGTACACGTCGTTGATGATGTCATTTAATGTTTACATCAGAGTGTCAGAATACCGCTAATAAAAAGAACTCATTTAAGTTTATAGCTCTTTATGTAATTCGCGCTTTTAACAGCATCCATAAAAAACGGAATGACACTTACTGATAGTATTCGCCGGCTTTCACCTCGATGTTATTACCGTCAATATGGTCTACGTGTTTTGACGACGTCAGCTCGTCGACGGACTCATCGCGATTCGTATCTCGAAATGCGAACCTATCCTCCTCTCTTTCGTAACTGTTAACGCTCTTCGAGCTTTCCAGCTGGAATGCCGGCACGGTCCTTTGGAAAGTCAAGGACTCGTCCAGTTGCCGTCCGCTGGATGTTTTTTCGGGTCCAGTGTAAGCGCTGGCGCTCAATACGATATTTTCTCGAGACACTTGAGAGGACGTTTTATCGTTCTGTATGGCCGACACTCCTGCAAGCAAACGAAAGCTAGTGTCAATTTTTCTGCAAGCTCCGCCTAAATTTTTTAGAAGATGAAAGAAGGTGGAATATTCATCGTAGAGTATATTGTAATCTATTGTAGAGAAAAACATTATTTTAATTAATAATGCAGAGTAAAATTTACATTTTTTATCGTTAATTAAATTTATAATTTGATAGGGATCAGTTTCACTATATTATAGACTTCATAAGTAAGGGCGATAAACCCAAATATAATGTATGCTGATACTTAACGCGAATATTAAAACGGTAAACCACTGAAGTGGAGACTATTAGGACTATGGTCATATAAGAAATATTCTCCATGCTCGAGGAACTCGCGGTGTATAATAATATCTAGCGAGAAAAGGTCGATGAACCCTTTCCGTGATATCGCATAAACGCTCCTGTTTGTACAAAGCTGATTGCGCTTCAGGGCTGGCGTGCGGAAAATAAAAGGGCTAGGCAAATGACTGTTACGAGAAAAGCGGCGATTGTTGTGACGGGTAAAAAAAAACGTGCTAATTGCAATGGCCGTTTCCTTATTCCGCGACGCAAAAATATATAATTATATCGTCATTAGGGCATAATTAGCCCTGCCATACTCGCGTGAGAAAGATCTCGTGCGCTTAATCGAGACGCAGATGAAATAACTTCGCGCTCAAACGGTACACTCTGGAAAGGTACGTACTTTACGGTATCGCTGATTCGCACCGCGACCCTACTAAGGGAGAAACACGTGCAGGGTTCTCCATTCCGGAAGAAACTGCTAAATTCGCACGATGCTGTAGATACGCGAAATGACCCTTTGTATCGAGGTAGCGAAAAATACTGTAACCTTTCCAGTAACCTTGTCGTATCGTAAATATCGCCTCGCTTCCTCGACAAATTAAATTGCATAGCAAGAGTGTTATCTTGTACAGAATTATTTTTATAAAATTTGCATAACTTTGCGATAATAACTTGGGAAATTTTATGTGAAAAGCTTTAAGAAAATGTGTGGCAAATAAAAAAGACAAATTAACATACAATCATTTTTGCTACTTAATAAATTTTGTATTGTCTAGTGGGAATTCCGGTTAACAAATAAGTTCATTTTGGATTAAAATGTAAAAAAAATTAATATTTTATATCACTATTTATTAATATATTATTATTCTGAATTAAAAAATAATAAAAAACGTTTATTACATATCATATAGTGATACAACTTGTGATAGTTATTTATAAAACCGAAAAAGGATATCTCTAATAAAACATTTAAAAAATAGATAGAGAAAATATCATTTTGCCACACAGAGTCAAGCAAAATTCTCTAACATATGTCTTTAAATGTCGCGCGAGCGAGCGAGAATCTTCGAGACAATCAGAACCTGCACCGCGATCCTACCATCGACTGATCAGGTGATCTAAGCGATTCTCGCGAAAGGGTGGTTCAATGGGCATGGCGATTCACTACGGATAAAAAAGTCCGGCGAACTCCACAGTTGATCCGCCGTTGAAGCGAACGGTACTCGAGCGGCGGTTGACATTCTCGAGGCTGGTATCGAGTGGTTTGACCAATCGTGGACGTGACGGGTATGAAATTACGACTGCGCTTTCTGTTCACCTCCTCGGCCTCTGTTCACCTCGCCTCCTGTCGTCGTATCTCGACGAAGGCACCTTGTGCCTTTCGTTCGAAGGTAAAAAGGTTCATTGACATCGTCGATCGAGCGCGTGTCGTCTTCGATCGACACGTCGAATCGTAGCCGATCTTCTTGAGATCCTTCTTGATAAGAAAGCCAATCGGGCAATAGACGGAAGTAGTTATTGCGGCCAGCCACTTGTCTCGTGGTAACTTTTTTGCTGAGACGAAGAAAGCAAAATCGATGTCGTTTAAAGATCAAGCAAACTTTACGTGACTTTAGTGATTGCTTTACCGTTGTCAATTGCTTCCAGCCGCATAAATAGTTCGATTTATTTTATCATTATAACGTCGACATTGAAGCATCTCGAGATAATTTGAGATGTCGGAAGATAGAGAGACGTCGCTAATTTTATTAGACTTTTGGAAAAGCTTATATAAGCTATTTAAAATGTAATTCGTGTACTGCATGCTTTACTGCAGCCGAGTTTCAGCTTCGCCATAGTGCGATAGATGCAACAAAAAACATTTCTACGGTACTTGCGAAGATGCTGTGACTGGATCGCACCTGTTGTCGACGGTTTGCAAAATTCCGTATTAGAGATGCGAATCTTGCAGACAACGGGAAAAACGCAAAAAGATAAAAGAATTGTCATAAATGTGTAAAAAAAAAATAGAAACTGTTATGCACGCTAGTTATAACGCTGTTATAACGCTAGTTTTATTTACGAAACGTTTTTTAGAAAAGAATTCTTATCTTTATTTTTTATACTCGAATAAAATTTATACAACATAGTGTAATTAGCATAATTAATATGTATATAATTTAATATGTTGTTTATAATATGTATAAATCTACAAAAAAAGATGAAAAAATAACGAAAGTCTAATATTTAATCAAAGGGACGAACAATAACGTTCATAGATATATAACAGATATATTACACAAAAGGGTAAAATGGATCCTTTCCGTGAGATCCTTCCCATATGATTGATGATAACGCGTTTAATATTATCGTAACACGGTTATCTGTTCACACAGAATTGCACTGCAAATGAAACGTCTGGCTGTCTCGCAATTCCCCTGACTTTGCTCCCTTAATGTCATAATTAAAGAGTGGAAGTACCAAAGAGGGTGAAAATGAATAGAATGTAAGCAACGCTCAGTCTTTTTCATTCCTTAATTATACTCCTTTTACAGAAAAATTGCACAATGTTTCCGTTTCATGTAACGAAGCTTTTATTCACGCGCGTTAGCACAAATAGCAAAATATTAAATAAATGTGCAGATTTAACAGCTGTGTGTTATGTCCCTATCTTTTGTAGAATCAAGAAATATAACTCAAAATTCTGTAATTTCCCCTCCCCCAAAAAATTAATACATACATAATTAAAAATTAAAAATTGTATTTAAAATCAACATTGGCATATATAGAAATTTCTGATATATAGAAAGTATAAGAAAAGAGAGCATAAATAAACAATTACATTAAATGAAAAGAGGAAAAAATTAGAAAAGGAACTTTAAAAGACTTGTAACTGTAATTGGAAAGTACCGCAATTTAAACGGTTCCGGTTTTCTTCTTTAGGCAAGAAATCGAAACCAAAACCGGAACAATTATTACCGTAACCGAACTGAAACTTTATTTCGGTCTAAGCTTATGATACAATCTTGACAATAAAGTTTATTTATTCGTATATTTTTAATTTTTACGGACATATTTTTCGTTAAAGTGTGTTTTACGCTCTTGTATTTCTTAGATAGTACGATCTCTTAACGATACTGATTGTTGGCTTACATTTCGTACACGTATCGAATGTAAGGACAATGGCTTATCTTCACGCAGGTGCACTGATGCGCGAAGCAATTTAAGTGAAACTAAAACGACGCGCCGCATAGATCACGATAGTTCGATAATAGCGATGGCTGACCTGAATATCGGATCCATAAATACGGAATATCGGCCAAAATGATTAATCGCGTTTATCTCGCGTATAACATACATGTCCATTTAAATATTCCCACATCCGGCGATATGCTCGTCGCTCGTTAAGATGCATCCAGTACTATTGTGTAGAAAGTGTGCATATTAGAGGACTATTTTTTTTCACGAGCCTTTCCCTCTTCTTGCGGCTTTCACCGTCGACGACAATAGCATGCTATGAATCGACAGTACGAAATCAAGATTAACTATGTATCTCTGCGATGTATTCTTAACCGTTCAATTATATTCTAATAAGAAAAATGGAAATTACAAGAGACAATTTAAACCGCAAAAAACACGCTAATATATATTGCTTCCAATAATTACAAGTATTGTAATTATTGTCTTAACGACAGCAAAAATTTCTGAATCGCCAAGATAATTAATAAACGTTAAAAGTGCAATTGATCCTAAAAAATTAATCAATATCAAATAATGTTATGTTACTGAATCGTTAACGAGATACATTAATTCGAGAAAACACGGCACGAAAGTAGCATTACGATCGCAAAAAATTGTTACGTTGCAAAAATCGATATTAATAAAACGCAATCATTATCCCCACGGTGCGACAAAATAATAGGATGCTCAGTCTCGTCCCGTCGAGATGCCTCTGGAACAAGAACTTTAATGTTCCTACAAACATGTGATCCAGATCACGTTATGCGATTCGAGTCGTTCGCATCGCTGGTCGCCGCCAGCGTTGACTATTAATTATTCATTAGCGAAGGTGCCGATCGTTCAGGTAAAAAGCACATTTGTGCCTTCGCGAATCGGCTCGCTGCGGTTAGTTCGCGAACACTCTCGCGCCGGTCTCGCTTCCGCGCATTTTATATCCCTAATTAGTCATTAAGGAGCGCACGACACGTTGCGATTTCGAACGCGATGCCCTTTTACATGCGCGATTAGGGTAGGTGCGAATAGCGAGTTCAACGCGCACCCAATGTGGGTTTTTCCATTGCGATACGCAATTCCGACGCGCACAATACACTGTTATCGTAATTAAATCGCAACAACGCAGGCTGATACGAAAGAATGATGGAACAACTGCGGTAATGCCAGGTTACGACTTATGATTGAAGCGATGCGCGCTAAATTAACTCTTACTGTTAGAGCAAGTTGTTTCTCGAAGCGATATCGTTATTTGTTCTCTAAAAACAAGTCGCAGTGCGTACAAAATCGCATGCATAAAATTATTGTTTGCACGTAGATCGACTTGTTTCTTTACATTTTAAAGCTCTATAAAGTTTGTATTTGGAGATGATAATTTTAACAGATATTACGAGTTGAAACGTTCTGTTGGACTTCTTGATAAAATCTTGTAATAAGGACTAATAATTGCGCCGATTGTATCGCAAGTGGCTTCGGAGCTTCCTTTTTTGA